GGGGATAGGGCCCAGCTGCGATGCCAACCAAGACGCCGAGCTAGCTAGGCACCAGTGCTGCAACGCGCGCTTGTTCGACCACGATCGAATGCGATCTGCCACATTCGTCGCCGCTTTCCCCTGGAGCGCCCCATGCCGAGCCAGGAGCGAATCGCGTTGACGATGCTGCCTAGGCGTGAGCAGCGTCGGTTCTAAGCCAGTCAGCGCCGCGCTCTGCGCGAAGCTGAGAAACAGCGTCCGCCCCCAACGAAGAAGAGCCTCCAGATACCAAATTTGCCCCAAAGAATAATAGGAGCCTGCAATGGCCTGAATTCGCCGACGGATCTCTACGGTCGCCGACTGCAGCATGTTATTTCTCGGAAAATGGTCTCGCGCGCCTTCCTGAAGTTGCCGCGACATAAGCTTTCGGCCCCGGCCCCGTGCCCACTGTCCACAATATAAACCCCTAGCTTTGGGAAGCAAAGCTGAACTTCTTGCTTCGAGACGTTCTCGGCGTAGTCTATCTCCTTCAACTCTTCAGGCAGCACCTCATCAACCTGCATCAGGACCTCAGAAAATCGCCCCGCGGAAGCGCGGGGAAGGAAAACCCGCGCGCGCGGAAAATATCGTCGGCACACAAACAACATCCGACATCTGTTTGACATTCGCTCCAGCGGGCCACAAGACACGCCGTGGAGACATCAAACTCCCTCAGCCTGCGCAGCCATTGCAGAATGGGCCTCGCAAGCGCGCCCCGGAACAATTCCACGACGTAGGGGCCCCACCGACGTGCCGCCCTCCGCCGTCTCGGTGTACATCCCTCCTTCCACCGTATCCAGCAATATCACGCTGTTTCGAAAACGCTGTATGAGAGCGTGATCCACCGCGGCGTCACTGTGGAAAATCCCAGACGCTTCGCGTATCCCCGCCAGCCCATCAAGGAACGATGCCCAGAGGAAGTGCCTCGATCGGAGAAGCGGGCAGCACGCAGAGGAAGGGTCCCCCAGTGGAGGCCTCTTGGAGCGGTTTGGGGGCCTCTTGGCGGTCCCGGACGCCTCTTAGACCGCCTTGGGTGCCTCGGAGAGCTTCTTGGGGCCTCCTGGGGGTCTCTTGGGGTCCTCTTGAGGGTCTCTGGGGCGACTGTTGGGGCCTCCTGGGGCCTCCTGGGCGCCTATTGGGGCCCTCTTGGGGCGCTCTTGGGAGTCTTGGGAGCGCTCTTGGAGGCCTCTTGGGCGATCTTGGAGTCACCGTGAAGCCTCGGATGGCCATCGGCAGCGAAAAGGCAAGAAAGCCCAAAACATTGATGTCCTGCGGGTTTGGGAAGGATTTGGGCCTCTTCGGGGCCTCCTGGGGGAGCTCTTTGGCCACTTAGAGCCGTCTTGAAGCGGTCTTGGGGCCTCTTGGAGCATCGTGGGAACCATCTTGAGGCATCTTAAGATATCTTGAACCATCTTGGAGGTCATCTTGGGCTCCTTCTGTCCCGATCGCAGCGCGGGCTTGGCGACCACGGCGGCAGCCATGCACGCAGAGATCCAGCAACGAGAAGAGGACAGTCAAACAAGACGTTCGCGTAGAAGGCGAGGCTGACGGCGATGGCGGCCGCCACCTCCACGTAATGCGGGATGACGGTTAATAAAAGATGGGGGAGAACGATAAAAAATATAGTTTTCTGCTGGTGCTGCACAGTTTTCTGACTGGAGGAGAACGGTTAACAAAGATAGTGTTCCAGCCCGCGGCCGGTTTTTTCCAATCGTCATCCCGGGCGCCGCCGCGTGAACACGACCCCCGGTCATCCATTAATCGTCATCCTCCATTACCAAGGCACTCCTCTCAGAGCGGTGTCGGGCGGCCTCTCGGGCCCTGGGTCCTGCCGCTCCCGCTCGGCGCGCGGCGCCCGGAGCTCCTCCGGCACCTCCTCGGGGTCCGGGCACACCTCCGGGCAACTCGCGCTCTCGCGAGGGGCCGGGGCAGGGGCGGCGCAGCTCGGCGCCCGCGAAGTGACGGCCCGGGCGCCCAGCCAGACCCGCAGCGGCGATGGTGAGTGCGAGGAGAAGGCGCTGGGCTCCATGCAAAAGCATCGGACCCAGAATAACCTTGAGCCGTAAGTTTGCGGATCCGAGCGGGTCGTCGAAACAGCGTTTCAAGCGAATGATTTCAGACGTAAAGCGGCCCAGGCTCCAGGAGTACCCCACTCTTTAAGCACAATGCATACTAGAACCATTGCGCGCGCTTCGCGCGCGCTCAAGTTCGAACTACTTTTGATGGGCGTACACATCCAGCATCTTGCCGCTTCTTGCATCCAGGGACTCTCTTGGAGGCCCTGCGCAAGCGTCGGCATCGCATAGAAGGGGAACTGCGGAAACTCAGAAATGACACATTGCCGTTAGGTATTCAACGATTTGGGGCCCTCGAAGTGCTTCCTGGGTTCTTTACTGGGGCTTTAACTGTGGTCTGTTGTGCAAGAAAGACAAGGGGGCGAACTTGGAAAAAAACGGAATGGTGGGATTTCCTTTTTTTCAATGTGTAATGCCTGGGCTGTGGGGTAGACGCTTTCTGCATGCAGGCCACGGTCTGTTGGGATGCCTCTCGGGGTCTTCGTGCAAAGACAAGCAGGGGGTGAATTCGAAAAAAACTAAAATTCCACTGATTCAACGCATGGGACCAAGGAATACTGATGTCTAGAATGGTTTCAGGGGCAGCCAAGAGGACACGAAGACGATCCAAGAGAGTGCCAAGACAGCGTCAGAGAGTTCAACAGCACTTCCATAACATGTTTGACTGGCCCCGAATTATTGATGGGGCTCGAGGAAGAGGATCGGGAGTAGGAGAAACAAATCTGGAATTCCCTTTGTCAAATTCCTCGGTCTTGGAGCGGTGGAAGCAGGAAAACGTGAGAAGGCGAAAAGCGTCGACAAAAAACACTGGAAAGCAATGATTTGACCCTCTTCGGGTTCTCTCGGGGCGCCTGTCGAAGCTCTCTTTGGCTGCTTGGGGGGCCTCGTCGGGAATTGGTTGGGAGCCTCTCAGGGGCCTGGGGTGTGTTGGAGGCCTCTGGGGGGTCCCTGAGTCCTCTCAGAGGTCTCTGGCGGCCTCCTGCTCCCGCTCTTGGGCTCATCTTGGGCCTGTTCTGGCGTGGTCTGGAGCTGTCCTGGGTGCCTCTTCGGCAGTCTTGGGGCCGTCTTGGCCCGTCTTGGGGCCGTCTTGGGGTCCTCTTGGGCGGTCTCGGGGCGGTCTTGGGGGCCTCTTCGGCCGTCTTGGAGCGTTGGAAGCATGAAATGGTGAGAAGGCCCAAAACCATGAAGAAACACCATGACAATTCACGATTTTAGGTTATCCGGGCGCTCTCGGGAGGCCTCTCGGAGCTCTCTTGGGGTCTTTTGGAAGCTTTCTGGAAGCCAAAAGAGCCGCCCGAAAGCTATCCTGGGTTGCTTGGGAGCGTCTTGGGCATTTATTTGACGTTCCTGGAGCTTCTTGGGGTCGTCTTGGGCTGTCCTTGGGCAGGTCGGGAAGCGCGGTACCGCGAGCGTTCCGCAGATGTTCTGGGAAGGTGTGGGACCCCCGGGAGGAGAGGGCGCGCATTTGTTGAACTTGAAAGAAAGGAAATATCTGAAATCTTTTTTTTTTTTTTTCTAAATTCCTCGGTCTTGGAGCGTTGGAAGCAGGAAACGGGAGAACGCGAAAAAAGTCAAAAAAAAACTGTAAACCAACCTCTTCGGGCTCTCTCGGGAGGGCTCTCGAAGCTCCCTTGAGCTGTTTCGGGGGCCTCGTCGGAGCTTTTTTGGGGGGCCTCTCTAGGGTCTGGGGTGTGTTGGAGGCCTCTGGGGGCTCCTGGAGTCTCAGAGGTCTCTGGCGGCCTCCTGCTCCCGCTCTTGGGCTCACCCTTTGCCTGTTCTGGGGTGGTCTGGAGCTGTCCTGGGCGCCTCTTCGGCAGTCTTGGGGCCGTCTTGGCCCGTCTTGGGGCCGTCTTGGGGTCCTCTTGGGCGGTCTTGGGGGCCTCTTCGGCCGTCTTGGAGCGTTGGAAGCATGAAATGGTGAGAAAGCCAAAAACCATTGAAAAAAAAACAATGACAATTCACGATTTTAGGTTCTCCGGGCGCTATAGGGAGGCCTCTCGGAGCTCTCTTGAGGTCTCTTGGAGGCCTCCTGGGAGCCTGGAGAGGCCGCCCGAAAGCTATCCTGGGTTGCTTGGGAGCGTCTTGGGCAATTCTTTTATGTTCTGGGGGCTTCTTGGGGACGTCTTGGGCTGTTTTGGGGCATTGTCGGAGCTCCCCGGGAGGCCAGGAAGCGCGGTACCGGGAGCGCACACGAGATGTCAGCGAGGTGGAGGACGCCCCGGGATGGGGCCCGGCGAATTTGTTTATACATTATATATATATATATGACGCCAAGCTACATGGTGAAAGATTACCGCGTCCCTGTTAGGATTCACCAGAAGGATGCTGGACAGTTCCTTTTGAAAACGGAGCTCTCGCGTGAAGGGCAGGTACATCGGGTGCTGGTCTTTCAAGGGGAGGCGCTTCTTCTAGTGAAACGGGAGGCATGTAGGATTGTATGAGGAAGGGACTTGCGACGGGAGGGTCAAGGCATCTTGAGTTTACTCTGCTCCTCCTCCCCCTCCTCCTCCTCCACCACCCTCATCCTCTTCTTCCTCCGTCACCTCCTCCTCCTCCTCCTCCTCCTCCTCCTCCACCTCCTCCTCCACCCTCCTCCTCCTCTTCCTCCGTCTCCTCCTCCTCCTCCTCCTCCTCCTTCTCTCTCCGCCTCCTCCACCCTCCTCCTCCTCTTCCTCCATCTCCTCCTCCTCCGCCTCCTCCTCCTCCTCCTCCTCCTCCTCCTCCTCCTCCTCCTCCTCCTCTCCCTCAGGCTCACGCAGGAGGCCCCTGAGCCGGCTCGCCAGACGCGGCCGTGACCCTCCCCATACCTCCCATCATTCAAAGCCCCCTGGCTCGCCCTCTATCCTCCCCTCTCCTCCAATATCAACATGGGCTAGTTGGCGCCCGTCGATTTGAGACCCCAGCCACTTGCCATCCTCGGAAGTGTCCTTGCTGCGCACGCGATCGGGCTCGCGGTTCTCGTCCATGCTGCCGTTGCGGCCCTTGCTGCCCTGGCTCTGCGACATTCTGCTGCTCTTGCCGTCCTGGTGTTCGGCGCCCGCGCGGTCCTTGCTGCCCTTGGGGTCTGGAGCCTTCCCGCCAACCCTCTTCGAGCTCTCTATCCTTGCGGGGGGGGGAGAGGGGGGGGGGGCTGCGCCGCTGGAGAGCGCAGCCCTCGCCCTTTGCCGCCTCCTCCTTCGCATACCCCTCCTCTCCCTTTTCCTCCTCCTCCTCCTCCTCCTCCTCCTTCTCCTTCTCCTCTCCTCCTCCTCCTCCGCCTCCTCCTTCTCCTTCTCCGCCTTCTCCTCCTCCTCCGCCTGCTCTTTCGAATACCCGATCTGGTCGTCTTCATCCGTACAAGCATCATCATAACGGTTGCCGTCATCGTCAACATCAGCATCATCATCATCATCAGCAGCATCAGCATCATCCATGTCATCATCATCATCAGCAGCATCAGCAGCATCACCATTACCATCACTATTGCCATCATCAGCAGCATCATCATCACAATCATCAGCATCGTCGTCATCATCATCCTCATCATCATCATCCTCAACATCATCCTCATCAGCATCCTCCTCCTCCTCATCATCAAGAGCAGCAGCATCAGCATCATCATCCTCAGCAGCAGCATAATCGGCATCCTCAACATCATCATGAGCAGCATCATCAGCATCATCATCACCATCACCATCACCATCAGCAGCATCATCATTGACATCATCACCGTCATCACCATCACCATCATCACCATAATCAGCATCAGCATCATCAGCGTCATCATCATCACCACCACCGTCATTATCATCGGCATCATCATCACCATCAGTATCACCATCATCGCCATCATCATCACGACACATAAACTAGTGGCCGTCAGTGTCCAGACATCAAGTGGCCGCCAAGAGAGACATCTCGATGAACATGCAGCAACTCCACGGCAATTCCATGCTGCAACGCTGTTGAGCAGCTTCCGCAATCGCAGTGGTGGAGATGCGCTGAAGCAAAACCAGCCCCCCAAGAGATGTCAGCTTTCAGGATCCAGGTCCTAGACAACCGGGGATCGGTGGACAGGCGGACGTGCTTCATCTATGCAACATTCTAGTTGAACCAATGAGGATAATCGTCAGTGGCTCGCTTGCCGTTGTATCCGTTGCGTCGTAAGCCCCTGTCGTAAGACCCTGTGTGTCATGATTCGGTTCAGCTGTTCGCGTATTGCTCTCATCCGCCACCGTGCCCTTGAGGCACGAGTTGGAGTGCTCGCAGGCCCTTGGCCGAATCCTGTAAGCCTCAGCCCTGAATCCTGAAGATTATTTAAGGGGCCCCGACCCCAAATTCCTACATTTCCCGGAGCCTCCCGCGTGCCCTCTGAGGCGCGTCGCACTCTGCCCGATAATTCTTCCAGGCCGAATACAGCCCCAAAGACAGACCAGAAGTGCCCAAAGAGGCTCCCAAGACGGTCCAAAGAGGACGCCGAAGCGACGAACAACCAGTCCAATACGCCCAATATGGCCTCTGGTCGGCCGAAAAGAGGCCCAAGACGTCCCAAGAGGCCTCCGAGAGCCGTCGCAAGAAGGCCCCGAGAGGCCAAAATCAGGCTGTTCCATGTGTCTTGGGCTCTCCACGTTTCGAGCCTCCGACGCCCCAGGACGTCCCAAGAGGCCCCCGAGAGGCCACCGCAGGACGGCACCAGAGGCCCTCACGAGGGCCTCAAGACGCCCCCAAGACAAACGTTCTGAGGAGCATCGAGCAGATGCCGATGCCACATGCGAGCACATATCCCGAACCACTCAGACAGAACCCATCGAATCCTGTGCGCGTGTACGTTGATGGCGTGACTGCCAGCATGGTATTGCAAGCGGGCCGAGAGGCGCCCAAGAGGGGCCGAAGGCGCCCCAGGAGAGCTCCCAGGACGGCCTCCAAGGGGGGCCCGAGAGGGTGGAGCCTTCCGCCCCAAGAGGCACCCAGGAGGCGTCCAAGAGGCCCCCAAAGGAGGCCCCCACGAGGCCTCAACCAGGCCCCAAGACGCCCCCACGAGGCCCCAAGAAAGGCCCACCAAACGGCCCCAAAATGTCTCCCCCAGACGCCTCAAAACTGACTTCAAGAGGTCCCCGAGAGGCCTCGACGAGATCCCAACGAACATACGAGAGGCCTCAGAAGCGCAACCCAAGCACGGTGGCGGGATGGGCCGAAGGCCATCAGACCTGGGCCGGCACGGGAACGGAAAGAGCGCTGCAGCAACCTGCCCGTGAGGGCTCATGGCACCCTTCGCTCTTGAGAGCCTTGGTGGGAAGAGTTTGTGACGTCACCGCTCGCTCTTGGGAGCCTTGGTGTTCCGAGACTTTTACGTTGACGCTCGCTCTTGGGAACCTTGGTGTTGAAAGTTGTTTACGTCACCGTTCGCCCTTGGGAGCCTTGGTGTGCACGAGTTTGTCACGTCACCGTTCGCTCTTGGGGGCCTTGGTGGGAAGAGTTTGTTACTTCACAACTCTCTGTTGGGAGCCCTGGAGTTCAGAGATGTTTACGTTGACGCTCGCTCTTGGGAGCCTTGGTGTGACGAGCTTTTGTACTTCACTTTCGCGCTTGGGAGCCTGGGTGTCAAGAGTCTACGTCTCCTCCTCCTCCTCCTCCTGACTCCTCCTCCTCCTCCTTTCCCTCCTCCTCCTCCTCCTCCTCCTCCTCCACTTCCTCCTCCTCCTGCTTTTCCTCTTCGTCCTCATTCTCCTCCTCCTCATCCTCCTCCTCTTTCTCTTCCTCCTTCCTCCTCCTCCTCCTGCTTTCCCTCTTCCTCCTCCTCCAACTTCTCCTCCTCCTCCTCCACCTCCTCCTACTCCCTCCCTCCTCCCTTCTCCTCCTCCTCCTCCTCCTCATCCTCCTCCTCCTCCTCCTCCTCCTCCTCCTCCTCCTCCTCTTCCTCCTCCTCCTCCTCCTCCTCCCTCCCTCTCCCTCCCTCCTCCTCCTCCTCCTCCTCCTCCTCCTCCCTCCCTCTCCTCCTCCTCCTACTCTTCTTCCTGCCGTCGAGACCAGAGCACGCCAGTGGAAAGCAAGATGGACCAAAAATGACGAACATGACGAAAGCATCCAGCAGATGACCAGACTCCGTGCCTTGGCCCAAGAGGACCTACCACTACGTGAACCTATTACGTTGGACCAGCTGGAGGGAGCGCTGCGAGCTACGCCGAACTCTTCAGGCCAGGGCTCCGACATGTGGAAGTTGCAGCATTTAAAGGCTTTGGCTTCCCAGGCTAAGCAAGAGCTGGCGGATTTACGCACTACATGCGAGCAGACCTTATCATGGCCCCATCAGTGGTTACACATTTGGTATGAGTTACTACGCAAAGGCTCCAACTTGAAAGCTGGCGACGGAAAGCCCATCGGCCTGATACCGCTCCCGGTTCGACTGTGGGGACGTGGACGACAGCCAGGCATGGCAGAATGCAGCAGTGCAAAGGCGGCCTTGTGGGATGCGGCGGTGGCCAAGTCGCCGGCACTCCAGGCAGCTCTTTACAGTATGGCCATGGATGAAAGCAGTGCGTGGGACGGTATCCTAGCATGGGGATCCATATGCCTGGACATCAAACAGTTCTACGATTCGATTAGCATCCCGCTTCTGATAGATCGAGCCTTGAAGTTACACTTCCCAGCAGTGGAACTGTACCTCAATTGCCTGATCTACCTCGCACCGCGTGCAGTACGTGCGGCAGGCGCTTTTGCGACGCCTATCATACCTGGGAACAGTATAGTCCCAGGCTGCAACAATGCGAACAATGGAGCGAGGGCTTTCTTGTATGAGGTTTTGGATCATGCACGCAGTCGAGTTCCGCCCGCTCTTCCACGACAGTATGTGGACGACGTCACTGCGCGGTCAGACGGCTCGTACAAGCAGGTGAAGCATGAGCTCACCACGGTCGCCGTCGAGCTCATCAAGGGATGCATCGAAAGCAAGCTGGAGATGTCAGATAAGTTGGCAATCATGGCATCGCATCCTACCATAGAGAAAGCAGTATCACGGGCAGCTCTTCAGCCAGGTGCCACAGTAAGAAGTGCAGACTGCGTGCGCGACCTTGGCATCGACATGGCTCGAAGACGGCGAAGGAGAACAACCACTGCACAGGCAAGACGCAAAGCAGCTAGAGTGCGAGTACGACGAGCCCGGGTTTTCAAAGGGACTGGCCAGCGTCGACGGAATTTGGCTACTCCAGATTTCGTAATAAAGGGAGGGGGGTCTCATTTCGGGGGGGTCTCTTCCAGGCTATCTTGGAGGGCCTGGGGGGGTCTGGGGACGATGTTTTGGAGGGTTCTCCCACGGGGGAGGTCTGAAATGGCTTGTCTTGGAGGGTCCAGACCCCCTCCCTTTTATTACGAAATCTGGAGTAATCTGAACATGGTCAACGTCAGGGCGGAGTCGTCTTATGACGTGCCAGTGATCGGCCAGTCGCCGAGCGCAGCACGACGCGCACGCGCCGAAGCAGCCGACGTGCTGGGCTACACCACAGGAGGCCGAAGTACCTCCGTGGTCATGCTGCTCCACTACTTTGAAGGGGCCCCAGGACACACACATAAATACACACAAATAAACATATTCCCCATATTCTTTAATGTTTTCTGGGTTTTTGTCTTCCCCCCACTTCCCGTATTTTCCAATATTTTCTTGGGAATCGACGATTAATTGTGTATGTGTGTTTTTCCCCTCCTGATACTTTGAAACTGACCCCAAAGCAATGGGACTTAGGCGCCAAGTGGCAGAGTGGCTCAAGCTTTGGAAAAGAGCCCCAGGGTACCATGACAAGCTTCGAGCTGGATGGCATGCGGCTGCTCATCGCCTACGGAAAGCACGACCCCGTGGACGGTGGAATGTGGTAGCTGGACCAATGGCAGCACTTATCCAAGGCTTCTCAGGGCTGGGCTGGCAGCTCAGCGAACCAGACACCTGGACTGACTCAAAGCAGAACGTTTGGCGAATGACGGATACGAACAGTGAACCCCGTGCGTCCGCCGCATCCAGCGACCAGAAGGCTAACGAGACGAAGTTGTGGAATGTACTAGGCGGGTGTCCTGTGCAAGCTGGGTGTCCTGTACCAGCTGGGCGTCCTGTACCAGCCGAAAGTCCTGTACCTGCTGGGGGTCCTGCACACGCTGGATGTCCTGTGCCAGCTGGATTTTAGGTACCAGATGGGTGTCCTGTACCAGCGTCAAGCATCAACTCCAGCGAGCAGCAGAGAGAGATGTCAGGGCAGGCCGAACTCATTTGTATTAGAAAAAGGTCTGAAAGTCCTGGGGCTGCTCTGGACAGCACCCCAGGCTCATACGCCGCCACGCCTGCTAGATGCGGTCAGGTAAAACCCTCAGCCATGGGACTACCACCATCGCATCCAGACGAACAGAGAGCGCAGACGGCCCAGGACTACGCGGACATGAGAGCAGACTTACGAGAATGGGCAGCGACATGGTTCGACGATCGCCTCAGCTATACCAGAGGTGATAGCAACTGGAAGGAGTGGTGCGAGGCGTTTCTCTCAACGATGCTGAATGGAGGCAATTATGAACCACTGCGCAGATTATTGCACGCTTGGTTTCCGAACAGATCCCTCGCCTCCATTATCCAGGAGCTTTGTGGCAGCGCTTGGAGACAGACAGAACGGCGCCGCGATGTTTTTATCTAAATATTGGCAGCATCTGAAGCCCCACAGCGACAGCGTCTTGAACGCAGGAACTGGAGAATGTTGACAGAAACCAGGGCTATGTTCAGGAGGCCCTTGGGTACGAATGCGCCCGACGTACGACGGCCTCCACCTCCACGTCAACCAGACAACGACAATGACCAGGCCGCGGACGTGCATGACCACCTCATTGCTCAGCTTGTAATGATGGCTCAGCCTGAAGCAGCCTCACGTTAACAAGTACCAGATCGCCAGGCTGCAGATCGCCAGCCACAGCAGACTGCGACCAACATGGACGGCGACCACGACCCTTTCGAGGACATGGAAGAGGGCACAGAGATCATACAGTTATCGACTGGTGGTGTCTCTTCAATAGATATTCGTGGACACGAGGCCGTCGTCGGAGCTGGACACTCTGTCAAGTCTCTGAATGCTGACAGCGGGACCGCTACTCAACAGCCACCAGTTCGACAAAAACAGCTACCTGCAGCAGGCGACGCCTACCAGCAATCAGACGACGCCACCCAGCCCATGGTCCACATCACTGCCGACGTCATCCAGGAGTTGCGGCAACCAGCAACCAGAGATCGACATGGAGGTCAGTGGGGGTCTACACCAAATCTCACGCCGTCTCTGAGAACGCTCCAGAGAATGCGACGAACGGATTCCCATCGGGAAGCTGGAGCGCTTGAAGCAATGTTGTGTAATACAATTTGGACTGAAGAACGATGCCGCGCTGAAGGCTACGCATGCAATGGTGTATGTACCCGATGCACGACGGGTCACAAAGAGACGATGGCCCACCGAGTATGGAGTTGCCCTCACACGCGCGCACAAGATCACCCTTGGACCCGTCAGAGCGCCACGCTGTGTGAGGAAGCTGTTCGGGACATCACCATTGGGACAAACTTGGAGTTGTGGCTAAGAGGGCTGCTACCATTCACGTGGAATCCTGTACCGCCCCCTCCTTCGTGGGACACGCCTTGCCTGCCGTTCTACATCGACTGGGACGGGCCGACTGTATCACTCGATGGCACGGTGCACTTCGAGAACCGCGTCGAGTGCAAGCTGGCCTTCCTGGACGACTCGGCTTCGAGCAGCGACGCGCGCATTGCGCGTGCGGGCTGGGGCGTCTATCTTGCCCAGTCCGCGGCCAGCGTGGAAAAAATGACCCTGAATCCCCTCGACCAGGAGCGTGCGGGGGAATAGACGGAGCCCAGACGGTCTCGTGTGCCGAGCTTGCGGCCCTCTGGTGGGCCTTGAAACTTACCAAGGGGCCTGTATGGCTCTACACTGACAATCAGATCTTGTACGACGGTTGGCATGGTTTCTCGGAGTCTTCGGGAGAACCCGGAGGCTGGTGGAATCGAGTATTTTCAGAAGCTCAAGGTCGACGGGTGATGCCCAGCAAGTGTAATTCGCACCTTGATGTCGCTAGCCTCCCTGGTCCAAACCCCATGTGTTTCGCGAGGAAACGACCTTGCAGGTAAATCTGCCCAGATAGGAGTACAACGTGTCTCGGAAGATATCGTCCCAGAGGTCAAAGATCTTGCGCGTGCGGAATTCAAAGCGTGGTTAGTCCAGAGGAGGCTAGGTATCGTTAGTGCCGCTGCTGCGAGTGCTGAATTTGAGCGCAAAAGCCGCCCGCGTATGGTCAACATTGCGCCCGCTGCCTGGCGCGTAAGGAAGAAGCTCGAGAAATCTTCGGGGCACCAGCTTTCCAAGGGTGGCCCCTCCTGGGTGTGTAGCCACTGCCAGAGTGGCCCAGGGAAGTTTTCGGTTTTGGACTGGCTCCGTAACGACAGTTGCCCTGGACCCCAGTACCATCGAGTAGAGTCTCAAGGTAGGCCCGTCCGCCTCCCCCCTCGGTTAAGAATCGGGGGTAGGGAGGTCCATGAGTCTCACAATGCAGCCATTCTGTATGGCCAGATGTTCTGTTGGATGTGTGGGTGCCTCGGTTCCAAGACCCCCTCGGGCGGAAGGCTGGGGGCGGGGATCGTGGTTCAGTGCAATGGGCACCCCACCCCAGCAGGGAAAGAGGCCTTGAATACAATTCAGCGTTGGGAGGTCCCCTCATCGAAGGGCAAGGCTGTGTGGCCTGACGGCACCCCCAACGCCCCCAGACAGAGAAAGCGCACAGCGCGCCGACAGGGGTAGCTCTCTGTCCCACCATCAGCTGCTCATCGGTGAGATTTGTGGCCTGGTTGCTAATTGTCCTGTAATTGTCCTCCTCCTCCTCCTCCTCCTCCTCCTCCTCCTCATCCTCCTCCTCGTCCTCGTCCTCGTCCTCGTCCTCCTCCTCCTCCTGCTCCTTCCTTGTACTCGTCCTTGTCCTCCCTCCTCCTCCTCCTCCTCCTCCTCCTCCTCCTCCTCCTCCTACTTTCCCTCCTCCTCCTCCTCCTACTCCTCCTCCTCCTCTCCCTCCTCCTGCTTCCCTCTTCCTCCCCTCCTCCTCCTCCTCCTCCTCGTCCTCCCCCCCCTCCTCCTCCTCCTCCTCCTCCTCCTCCTCCTCCCTCCTCCTCCTCCTCCTCCTCCTCCTCCTCCTCCTCCTCCTCCTCCTCCACCTCCTCTCCTCCTCCTCCTCCTCCTCCCCTCCTCCTCCTCCTCCTCCTCCTCCGGCCTCGTCCTCGTTCCTCCTCCTCCTCCTCCTCTCTCCTCCTCCTCCTCCTCCTGCTCCTCCTCCTCCTCATCTTCCTGCCTCCCACTCCACTCCATCACCCTCCTCATCTTCCCTCCTCTTCCTCCTCCTCCTCCTCTTCGTCCTCGTCTCCTCCTCCTCAACCTCTTTCTCCTCCTCCTCCTCATCCCTTCTCCTCCTCTCCCTCTCCTTCTCCTCCTCCTCCTCTTTCCCTCTTCCGCCTCCTTTTCTTCTTCCTCCTCCTCCTCCTCCTCCTCCTCCTCCTCCTCCCTCCTCCTCCCCCTCCTCCTTCTACCTCCCTCCTCCTCACTTGGCCTCGTCTTCGTTCCTCCTCCTCCTCCTCCTCCGCCGCCTCCGCCTCCTCCTCCTCCTCCTCCGCCGTTTCTCCTCCCCTCCTCCTCCTCCTCCTCCTCCCCTCCCCTCCTCCTCCTCCCTCCCTCTCCTCCTCCTCTTCCTCCCCCCCTCCTCCTCGTCCTATCCCTCCTCCTTCTCCTGCTCCTCCTCATCCTCCTCTTCCTCCTCCTCCTCCTCCTCCTCCTCCTCCTCCTCCTCCTCCTGCTCCTCCTCTTCCTCATCCTCCTCCCCCTCCTCATCTTCGGGCCCGCTTGGGAGCCTATTGGAGCCCTATTGGCTCTCGCCTCAGCGCCGCGCACATTCGCTTGTTTTTCAAAAGTTGCAAGAATGTCACGGGTTCTCATGATCAACGTATGGTGTTTTGGAAGGGTTCAGGATTATGCGGGTGCGACAGTTATGTTGATTCGCAGTGTTGACGCCCCAAAAAATGACGCTCTGGCACGATTCCGGATCGTCAAGACGCAGCAGTCAGGTTGATACGTGGCGTTGAAATCCCGAGAACAACGTTTTGACATGCTTCAGGGTCTTCAAACGGTTGTCTTCCAACGAGGCAGTTCCCTCAATGGAAATGCCTATGAAGAGGGAGCTTGAAGGGAAGGTTAACTCCAACATCGTTGATGACTCTTGGTTTTACTCTGGTCCGCCTCCTCCTCCTCCTCCTCCTCCTCTTCAGCCTCCTCTTCAGCCTCCTCTGCCTCCTCCTCTTCTTCCTCCTCCTCCTGCTCATCCTCCTCTCTATGTGTCCTCCCTCTCCTCCGCTTCTTTATTCTCCCCCGCGTGTTCCCCGAAGGGTTTCCACAACGGCTGGGGGAACACTTGGTCGGATAGCTTGGCAGAGCTCTGGCCATAACGCTCGGCCGCACGGGCGATTCCAAAAGGCAGGGGGCGGCAGTGATTCGCCGCAGGAGTCTCCGATAGAAGGACTACGCTGTGGCGCTGTGGCGCGATGTTATTGCAAGGCGGTTCTCTCCCCCCTCTCTCCCTCGCTCTCCCCCTCCGCCTCTGGCCCCCCCCCTCACCCGTCTTCCCCTTTCTCCCCCCGCCGCAGGAGGCCCGTCAGGGCCGCCCGCCTGCCGCACGGCCCGGGCACATGAGCACCGCGGGCGGGCAGCCCAGCGCTGCCCGACCCACGAATCGCCGCTCAGCCCCACGGATCGCCCCCCGCCCGCCCTTCCCTCCCCCCTGCTCATACGGCAGGCTCGTGACATGACGGCCAGGGCGTTGCACCCTGACACCGCGCGGATCGTTCAACATGGAACGATTGCGGCCCTCCGATCGCGCAGCACCGTTCGACATCTGCCGCTGTCGGGCCGCTGGCGGCATTCAACCTTGAACGCCCGCGCTGGGGTCGCCGCCGAGTCGGCACGACACGAGCCTGCCGTACCCCACTCTCCCCCGCACAGCCTCTCCCTTCCTCCCCTGGAGGGCGGGGCATCCTGGGCAAAGCGGGGCCGGACACGCCGACGGTGTCGGGGTGTCTGGCGCCCTCCGCGGTGGACACGTAATCTTTCCGCACGGTCTCCGGGGTGCCTTTGATGTAGTCGCTGATGCGCTTCGCGCCCTCGCCTCGCGGGGACTGACACTCAGGCGTGGAAACCTACAGCGCGGGCGCGACCGCGAGAAACCCTCGCAAGAAACCCAACCCTGAGAACCCGTGCGCGAGGTGCACCCGAAGGGAAACCTGGAGCACCCTGAAGGCAGCAGCTCCTTCAGCGGCTGCCGGAAGTCGCCGCGCAGCGCCCCTGACGAAAAGCATATGGTTTCTTGATGCGCGCCCCCACTGTAACAGCGAAGCACCGCGTGTGCCCTCTGGCTTCGGGTCCTGGGACACTCACGGATCAACCCAGCTCGAGAACCCCCACGCAAAAGTACGCCCAGGGGGCTCTGATCGGGACTGTCTCGCACCGCAGTTCTTGCTCACGACGCCGGCCCGCGAAGCCGGGGAGCCTCCAGGCAAGCAGCCTGGGGGATGCGAGCTACCCTCCGTTGTCCGGTCTGGGAGCTGAAGATCGGGCGGCCACGACGGAAAAATCCTCCAGAGGAGCTGGGAGACCCGTGGCAGTGTGTCGAAAGCTGGGCGAGGGCTGCTAAAACCGTGGCTGCTAAAACGGCCCTCCCGGAAGGAAAAAACAACTTCCGGGCCTTCGAGCCTCGCAGCCTGCGGACGACCCACCGCCCCCCCCATTTGTGTCCGCAGCTGCGGGGGCGAGAGGAGCCTACACCATGATCATGTCGATTGCGGGAGCCTTTCGACGCTTGAAGAGTACTCTCAAACCGCCCACTACTAAATAGCTCCAAGTGGAGCCAAGAAGGGCTCGTAGAGGGCTCCGATGATTCCCAAGAGCGCCCTTGGCGCACCACACGAAAGCTCCAAGAGGGCCCAATTGCAGCGCCCCAGGGGACCTCAGCATTTCCCCCTAGATGACACAGTATGACCAAAGGAAACTCTAATCAAGTACAGATCCTTCGAACACATCAAGTGTTTTAGCATACGTGGCTTTCTCGCTGTTTCACTTCCGATGGCATCCTGAGGCGTCAAGACGACTCCAAAATCGCCCAATCTAGCTCCAACTGGAACTCTGAAGGGTTCCAAGATGGTTCCGATGGCCGCGTGGAGCGCCCGAGGAGCGCCCAAGAAGGCTAAATAGCACATACTTGGTCGCCCTTGCATCTGCTCTGCTTGTGTGCGTCCAAGTCGCTCTGATCATTATGTTTCTCCTCGTGGTCTTCCTCCTCCTCCTCGTCCTCCTCCTCAGGAACGTCCCAGGAACCCACAAAACGCCTCCCACAAGCCTCGCAAAGGTGTCTCAGAAGTCTCCCAGCAGATTCCCGGAAACGTCCCACAACAACCCTCCCATAATCCTCATCGAAACTTGTCAGGGGCTTCCCGGAAGCTTCCAATTGGCGTCAAAGAAAAATCAGAAATATCAGCAATCACCCAGAGGCCACCCAGGAGCCGATAAGGAGATTATCAAAGTCCGAACAGTGGACTAACATAAGCGCCTCAGAAGCGTCCTTCAGGAGTTGGTTGCGAATGACCCGAGGTGGCCCGAGGGAATACTCAGCGTAGGTAAACTGCCGTCTGGTTCTGAAGAGCTTTTCCCGGGTTGAGATGAAGCCGTGCTGGTTTTACGTAAGATGACCTTTTAGGTTGGGAAAACCGGCTGCACCTGTTTGCAGGAACTGGTTGGAGTGTGCCCCTTCGAGTTGTAAGTTTTCGCCCTGGCTGCAAAAAGCTCGAACTCACCCCTACCCTGTCCTCGTTTTCCTACTCCTCATCCCCCATCCATGCCCTCCTCCTCATCCTCCCTCCCCGTCCTCTTCCTCCTCCTCCTCCTCATCATCATCCTCCTCCTGACCATTCTCTCATTCCTTTACATCTTGAGTATCACAATCGTAAACATCCGCATCATCATCATCATCATCATCATCATCATCATCATCATCATCATCATCATCATCATCATCATCATCATCATCATCATCATTAACACCATCATTATCATGATCATCCGCACCATCATCATAATCACTATATCACCATCACCATCATGAGGGTCAACATCATCATCATGACCAGCATGACAATACACATCATCATCAGCAGCGGCAACAGCAGCATCACCATCACACCATCACCATCACCATCATCATAATCAGCCGCATTATCAGAAGCATGAGCATCACCATCGTCATCATCACCATCGCCATCATCGTCAGAAGCAGTATCATCCTCCTCATCAGCATCCTCATTAGCATCCTCATCTTCACCCTCATCCTCCTGATAAACATCAACATCATCATCGCCATCGTCATCATCATCGTTATCTTCATCCACCCCCTCCACACCCTCATCATCATCATCATCATCATCATCATCATCATCATCATCATCATGATATGCTGCTTCGTTCGGCGGGGAACTGAGTTCTGTTAGCGATGGCTCGCTGCGATCAGCGGGCTGCTCCTCCGGAGCTCTGGGAGGGGGGCGGAAGGCCCCCTCCGAAGAAGAAGCAACACACTACAAGTTGAAACATCTTTTAATGCGGGATCCCCATGCCCCCATTACACAGGGGTTGCATTGCATCTAGAGGCTCTCGCGAGAGACAACAGGGAACGAGCGAGCGCGAAGTTGAAAAGTTCTTGCATTTTGCAATGAGAATTGTGCGACTGCGCCCATCGCTACTTCTCCCGCGCAGGTGCAGATGCGGGAGGCCTGTTTTGCAGCAGACGCTCGTTCGACTGGCACGCGCGCGCTCGAGCACAGCAACATCCCCAGGTTCACGGCCAACGAACATGCATATACACCTGCGCCTCCACGGCGCTCCGATCATGCATCTGTCGCTCACAAATGTGGTCACAAAATCTGTTGGGATTTCATTGATTTGACTTCAGAGGTATGACCACACACGGCTTCCTTGCGGCATCTCGAGACAACGCGAGCATGCCAGGACGCCGATGCAAGCCTGCTCAACCTCTCGGCAAACCGCCGCTTGCTTGCCCCCGCCACCGCAGGCGACAAGAACAGCGCGGCCGCCTCCGCCCGCCGCGCGCGCGCCAACAGGCGGCGCTCGACAGGCGCGCCCAGCCGCTCATCGCCGAGCGCGTCGCCGCGCCGCGTCCAGGCGGGCGCGCCCTGCGCGGCCAGGCGGGACCCGACGCCGGCCAGGCGGTCGCCGATCAGGAGCGCCTTGCTCCGCGCTTCGAGGGCTGGACGCCCCCTGGCAGCGGCGCCGCACGGCCCAGCGCCGAGGCGGGCTCCAGCCCGCTGGCCCAGGCGCGCCCTCTTCTCGTAGCGCGCCATGTTATTCAACTGGCGCCCGCCGCTCCTGCGCTGCAGTTCTGCCTGGATGCGCTCGCCGCTGGCGCGGTCGATGCTGGCGCCTGAACGCCGCGCCTGGCATGGCGCGACCCGCCTCAGCTGTCGAGGGCCGCAAGTGCCCATGATTTCGCGCAGCAGCGTGGGGTGGTCGAACGGCCGCGCCGGTTTGCGAGCGCTCAGCTCCTGCACCCTGCTCAAGACTGGGCCCGGCCACAGCAACCACGACGAGCCTGGCCCACACTTCGGTCGAACTCGCCGACCTTGTCGGGAGTGGCCGGCTCTCGGGGGCGCACGAGAGACCCTGGTGCCGACTTCCCGCGCGCGGCTTCCTGGTGCCGGCGGGGCGCTGCCTGGCGAGCGGCGTCGAAGCAGCCAGCGCCACGAACACCGCCATCATGCGGTGGTCCCCCCCCACACCGAGGCGCGCCTCGGGACGCGCTGGATGGTCGGCGGATCGGGCAAACATGCACGTCCAGGTGTGGGCCGCTTCCAGCCCTTCTGCGCCTTCCACATTCGCGGCAGCGCCTCGGCCCCCAGTCGCCCGCACTTCGGGTAGAAGTGGTTCACCGCGGCCGCCCCGCGCACGCCCGTCGAGGCCCGATCGCCCTGCAGGTGGAGGGAGGTGAAGCAATGCGCCAGGCTAGCGCCGATCGTCGCCGACAGCAGGTCGAGGAAGTCCTGGCGGCCACACCTCACCTTCTGCTGCTCGAGCACCCGCTGGTACTGAACCCTCACTCGCGGTGTCACGTCGCCGCTTCGCTCGCCCAGACAGCGCCCGCTGTCGCTTGGCAGCGGAGGCGACCTCGGACCCGCTGGGAGCGCCGCTCGAGGTCGGATCGACTGATCGAGCCCGCTTTCCAGCGACGCGCCTTCGGGTGGCGGCAGACTGCGGCCCTGCTGCCAACTCCAGGCACGGTGTCCGGGACCCCGCGGCGGGGGTGACGTGAGCGAGACTCGACTGAAGCACGGCGGGCTTCCTCTCGCCCCGCCTTGACACCAACTCCCGTGTCGGCACCCTCGGGCGAGGCGCTCCGGCGGGCCCGGCCGTTCCAAGGGCCCCAAACAGGCGTGGCAGCTCGCGCCGGGGCGGCAGAAGCAGCCGCGGCAATTTGAACCCAAATGTCTACGGCCTGAGCTGGAGAGGTGGGATAATCACTGCATGCAGAATGGAATTCGCACTCGGAACTTACATTATCATAGCTGCAAGACGCACCCGACTTCATATCTGACACAGGTTCTGAGCGCCGGCAGCACGAGGGGGTCACGGGGCGTGCACAAACATGGAGAGGGTTCAAATAAGCTCGCGGTTCCGATTTGTCTTCGGCCCCAAAGCTCGACTCAGGAGGAGGAGGGGGATAGGCAGGTAGAGAAGGATTTATCAGACGCGTTAGAATCTTCGAAGTCCACCTTCGGCCCGCGACCCCCCATCACTGCTGTCTTGCTCGATCGAGACCCAACGGACTATGGCCCTCGAATTCCGACTCAGAAGGCAGGCCGTGAATTTGCGGATCTGCCTCAGAATCGCGAGACTCCGACATCTACTTTTATTGCATGCCAGAGCAACACCGAGACTGTCGACTGGCAAGATCTGCCTGGCATGGAAACCGGAACGAGTGAACTTGCACTCTAGAATGCCGATGTGCTCATTTCATGCCCATGTTCCCTGTCCTATATTGAGCCAGCGCTGATAAGACAGGAGCTCATTAGGCACCTCGCAGAAGTTGGGACCCATCTCGTACACCCCCCTCTGGGCTGCGCGAATCCGACCAAGAGTTTCTCCCCCTCGCCCGCGCGCGGCATGGCGCCACCCTCTTTCGCGGGCGCGAACTCTCCGAGACCCGCCGCGGCGAGGGCCGAGCGACAGACCTCGACGCCCATCTCAATCCTGAACCGCCACCTCTCACGACAACGGCCCACGGCGTTGACGGCGTCGTGATCCCAGAAGCTTCCAGCCATCCCGCGCCCGTTCTTCCAGGCATCCGAGCACTGTACCCACTGGTTGCAGGGGGGCCATCAAACCAGGACCACCACGGGTGCCAGCCCTCCGAAGGCCAGCAACTCCCCGCGACACGCATCGCAGAATGGAGCCGACTCTTCATTCAAGTTTGCGACGAATCGGTAGCAAGCGCGAATTACAGAAGGCGCTGGGCGACGCACCGGGCCTAGATCCGCGCGACGCCCCAGTAGGACGCGATGACCATCGCCTCGAACAGCCCGAAGCTGAAGAAGACCGACGATACCCTGGCGCACCCTCCAGAGCATCTCGAGCGATGGCTGCGTCTGAAGCCTCCGCCCGCCCCCATCCACGCCGAGCTCCTCGATGCCGTCGCTCCGAACTTCTCGTCCGTGCACCTTCAGGCCCGCGGACTCGCGCGCCTGCGCCAGCTCGCCCGGGCCGCTGCTGGCGCGGCCCCCGCTCTGCCCAATCATGCCCGCGTTGCCGACGCACGCGCAGCGCCCCCCTGCTCCGAGCCAGCGCCCATCCTGAGCACCAGCGGCCTGCGTCTCTCAGGGGCGCGCCGTCTCGGAGGCCCGAGGCGAAATGGCAGCGGAGCTCGGTCGCGCTCCGGGACAGGCACGGGCCCCAGGCGCACCCCGTCAGCAGCGCCTCGGGGATTGGGTAGAGCACGTCGTCGCAGCTCAGTCTGCGGCCCTTCAGCACGGCGCCGTCGAGCCTGACATCGCCCGCCTTGATGGCGGGCAGCCCGAGGAGCCGCTTCATCCACGGGGGGGGGCGCACGCGGTGAAACGCGCCCATGGCGTCCGCCACGCCCGCGGAGAACTCAACCGGATGGAGCGCCGCTTGAAAGGCGGCCTGAAAATGGCACCCGGCGCCCCCCGCGTCCTCGAGCTCGAAGGCCGACAGGCCCTCCGTCATCAACGCCTCCACCGATGGGGGGTCTGTCAGCAAGGTAATGCTTCGGCGGCAATGAAGAATCGCGCGCGTCTTCTCCCCCCCATTCCTCCACGCGAAGAAGACCCCCGCAATCTCCGAGACCTGGCGCGCGAACGACACCAAGCCGCGCTTAGCGAAGCCCCTAGCAAAATCGCCGCACCGACGTCGGCTCCGCACAAGCGTCGGCTCGCTGAAGGGCACCCGCGGCCAGCGCTCCAGCGTCTGGCGAAGACTCTCACGGCCCCGCGGCACGCGCACGCCTTGCCCATCCACGCACTGGCGCGCTCGGCCCCGAAGCAGCTCTTGAAGCGCGGGCGCCCCGGCGACGCCCCCGGGAAGCGACGGGGGCCCAGGTCGGAAAGGGGCGAGCACGTCCTCTGGTGGGCCGCCAGGGCACGGCGACCTCCCACGCATCAACTCCCGCGGGGCTAAATGCGGAGGCCGCAGCTCCACCCCTCGCATCGGCTGCGCGACGTCGTCCACCCGCCCACCGATGCGCCGCAGGACGCCGAGCTGCATGTCCGACACGGGCGCGGTGGCAGACCCCGCGGGCGCCCCCGCCCGCCAGTTGAGGCTGCAGATAGCCTCGTTCACCAGCGCATCACGGCGCCGCCGTCGTCGAACACGAGCGCGACTCCTCCCCGATACCTCCTGGCTCGCCTGCTCTCCCGCCCCTGGCGGCGGAAAGACGTCGCGAGCCCCTTCCCTGGGCGGCGGCCCAGGGGGGCCCTGTGTCACCGACGCCGCGGGCGGGGCCAAGTCCAGCGGCGAACTCGTCAAGCGCAATCGTGAGCCTCCCGACGCGTCCGCGCCGGAAGGCTTCTTGGGCGGCTCCGCAAGCTTCTTCGACTGCGCGTCGCCCTTCCCGCCCCCGTTGACAGACATGAACCTGTTGGCTCCAAAGAGGCCGCGGACTTGGGCGTTCAGGAACTCGGTGTCCTCCTTCGCCCTCTTCGCCCCGAAACTTCGCAGCTCCGGTGCCACCACATGTCCAGGGCCGTACTCGCCAGTGAGATAGCGAGCCTTCCGCCAGCTGGAAGGGAGCTCCTGAAACGGGATGGGCATCAGAGATCACCTGTATCCGCCTGGCTGCTCGTTCCATGGATCGGAGACCCCCTAGGTTCAGCTGGCCGTAGCTGCCAGCCAGCTGCAGGCATTGGCAGAGCACCTCGGGCTCATGGTAGATGCGGCCCTGGCGCTCTACGCAATGCTCGCGGCTCTACTCGGCCAGCCAGCTCAGCGGGTCGTCCCCGTTCATGCACATGGCCTTCGCGAGGAAAACCGCCGAGACTGGCTCGTCGACAGGATCATCCGCGGACGACCCTATCATCTGCACCTCCTCCCCTATCGCGCGGCCACCACCTGGCGTCATCAGCGTCCAGATGATCTCGCCCACGAGAACGTCCGCTGGTCGCCAAGGTCGATCGACCCTGGGCGGGCGGAGCAGAAGAATAAGACCCAGTCGTACTCTTCTCTCGTCAAGCGCGTGCTCGGGCCAGTCGTCCTCAGCCTGCCCGCGAGCCGCCTCGACGTCACAGCAGCCCTTGCACAGGGCCAGCACGCGCTCCAAGCTCAGACTCGCTCTCAACATATACAGACGCCGTGCACCCAGAGCGGAGTAGCCCACATCAGGGAGGGGTCGAGCTCCACTGGGTCCGTTCTCGGGGTCGCTCCTGTCCAGTCGCTCCTGCTAGACAGAGGCCGCCGTCGGGAGAGAGCACCCGCCACGATGCCTCGTCCTCTTTGCCTACTCCATCGCCACGGAATCGGTGTCCAGGCCCGATGAGCACCCTCTCGTGGTCCAGGTCGTCATCACTGTAGCCGACACGGACCCGCGAGCCCACGTCTGCCTCAGTCCAGAACTCCTGCTCCCCTGCGGCGAGGAGCAGCGGCACGAGCGCGTGGGCCATCTCCGCGGGCCTCCGCTGGAGCTGCACGTCGACACCAGCGATGCACCCGCTACAACCCTCCTCCGATCAGCTGGCTCAGCCACCACACCAACGGTCCTGACAACGCCAGGGGCTCCCAGCTGCTCCGCTCCTCCACGGGGCAAGTCAGCGGCTCGACGACGGAGCACTTCGGTTCCGAGCTGATGGCCTCCCACCCAAGAGTCGGGGGAGGCGGTGGCGGCGGCCCGCTCGCCGACACGTTGCGGTCGGCCTCCAGCTCACGTTCCCACGCCTCGCGGAGCAGGTGCTGTTGGCCGATCTGAGTGAGCTCCAACCGGAGAACCACCCAGAATGGGAGGTTCGACGCGGCATGCGCCAGCATGTCGCCCTCGAACCAAAGAGGGCCGCTGTCGCAGACAAACCTGCAGGCATGCAAACCAACGACACCCCACTCCCCGCTACTCATGTCCGTGCACGCACCCCCTATGGTCATCATCATCCTCGGCATCATCATCATCATCATCATCAGCAGCAGCAGCACCACCATCATCATCATCAGCAGCATCAGCATCATCATCAGCATCATCATCGTCAGCATCAGCATCAGCATCATTTATGATCAGCATCATCATCATCATTATCATCATCATGATCGTGCTCATGCTCGTCCTCATACTCCTCCTCCCCCTGCTCATCATCATCATCATCAACAACAACATCATCATTAGCATCGTCGCAACCATCATCATCATCAGTATCATCAGCATCATCAGCATCGTCGTCATCATCGTCGTCATCCGCATCGTCATAGTCGTCATCAGCATCATCATCATCAGCAGCATCAGCATCATCATCACACTCACCCTTATGCTCATGCAAAGCCTCCTCCTCCTCATCATCATCACCATCGTCACAATCATCATCATCATCACCATCATCAGCATCATCATCAGTATCATCAGCATCATCAGCATCGTCGTCACCATCGTCGTCGTCATCCGCATCGTCATAGTCGTCATCATCATCCGCAGCAGCAGCATCAGCATCAGCATCATCAGCATCATCATCATCATCATCATCATCATCACACTCACCCTTATGCTCATGCAAAGCCTCCTCCTCCTCATCATCATCCTCACCATCGTCGCAATCATCATCATCATCATCGTCATCGTCATTATCATCTTCCTCATGCTCATCATCAGCACCAGCATCGTCATCAGCATCATCATCGTCAGCATCATCATCATCATCGTCATCGTCATCATCATCATCCTCATGCTCATGGCCATCCTCTTCCCCCCCCCTCATTATCCACCCTCTCCTCCGCAACATCATCAGCATCATCATCGTCACAATCACCATCACCAGCATCATCATCACCATCACCATCATAGTCAGCATCATCATGATCGTCATGAACATCGTCATCATCAGAGGCTGCATCAACATCGTGACCATCGTCAGCATCATCAGAATCATCATGATCATGGTCGCAAGCGTCATCATCATCAGCATCATCATCATCATCATCAGCATCACCATCGTCATCGTCATAGTCATCATTCTCACGCTCATGCTCATCCTCACACCCCTCCTCCTCGTCCTCCTTCCCCATCAACATCGTCATCAGCATCAGTTTCGTCATCAACATCATGGTCATCATCATCAGCAGCATCATCGTCATCATCATCAACATCATCGTCATCATCGTCATAATGGTCGTCGTCATCAGCATCATGCTCATGATCATGCTCATCATCATCCTCCTCATCATTATTATCAGCATCGTCACCAGCATCATCAACATCATCACCATCATCATCAACATGATCATCAGCATCATCATTACCATCATCATCGGCATCATCGTAACCATCACCATCAGCATCAGCATTACCATGATCAGCATCATCAGCATCGTCATCAGCATCGTCATCAGCATCAGCATCATCATAATCATCATCACCATCATCAGCATCACCATCATCATCACAATCACCATCAACCTCAGCATCACCATCATCAACATCATCATCACCATAACCATCACGATCATCATAAAGTGGTGATGTTTGCGACTGTGGTGATGATGATGAAAGTGGTGATGATGAGGATGATGCTGGTGATGATGGTGGCGATGGCGATGGTGATGGTGATGCTGATGCTGATACTGATGGTGACGGCGATGATGATGAGGATAATGGTGATGATGATGGTGCTGATGCTGATGGTGATGATGATGAAGATGGTGATGGTGACAATAATGATAATGATGAGCATGATGATGATAATGATAATTGTGATGTCTCTCATGATTAATGATGATTGTGATGGTGATGCTACTGATGATAATGATGCTGGCAATGATGGGAATCATGATGATGATGGTGATTGTGATGGTGATGTTGATGGTGGTGATGATGACTGTGATGAGGATAAGGATGATGATGATGATGATGATGATGATGAGGATGCTGATGATAATGATGATGATGATGGTAGTGGTAATGGCGGTCATGAGAACGAAGATGAGGATGAGGACGAGGATGGTGATGATGATGATGAGGATGAGGATGAGGGTGAGGGTGATTGTGACGATGAGGATGAGGATGAGGATGAGGATGAGGATCAGGATGAGGATGAGGATGAGGATCAGCATCAGGATGGGGGTGATGATTAGGATGAGGACGAGGATGATGATGATGAGGATGAGAATGAGGATGAGGATAATGATGATGATGATGATGATGATGATGATGATGATGATGATGATGATGATGATGATGATGATGGTGATGATGACGGTGGTGGTGGTGGTCGTGGTGGTGATGTGGTGTTGATGGTGATGCTGCTGCTGATGGTGAGGGGTCAGGAGTCCTGACGGCTTCTGGGGCGGGGTCCCGGGGGTGGTCCGGGGGGGTTGGTCCTGGGGGTGGTCCGGGGGGGGTCCCGGGGAGGGGCCAGGGAGGGGGGGCCCTGGAGCGCGCCCTGGGGGAAGCCCACCACAAGGGGTGCTCCCCGTTGGCAGGCCCTCGACTCAGCAGGGACTCACCACGGGCACCGTGTCATGGCAGCCCGCTCGCAGACCTGGCAGCGTGGTCCCTCGTCCCTGCCGCGGGCCCACCCTGGCGAGCTAGTCGGCCGCGGCGCTCGGCGGCTGCGCTGCGGGCGTACGTCGCGCTCGGGCGCTGCTCCGCGGCCTCGTGGCGATGACGCTAGCCGACGATTGCCGACGCTGACAGACGCCAAACAGACGCTAAAACAGCGCTAAGCGACGCTGAGCGACGCGAAACGACGCTAAATCGATGCTAAACGACGCTAGATCGACGCCAACCGACGCCAACCGACGCTAGCCGACGCAAACTGACGCTCGCGCTGTTCGCTGGCATGCGAATCGATGCCGGCCGACGCCGGACGACGCTAAATCCACGCTGGTCGATGCTACACGAGCGCGCCTCCCTCAACTGCCGAACGCCAGGCGCGCGAGAAGGCACTCCAGAGACGGGCTTTCGAGGCCACGCAAGGCTCCCATGGTTTGCGGCGCGCGGAGGGTAACAGGGGGAAGGGGGAAGGCTTCTGAGAACGAGGCTGCTTCTCAGAAGGCGCGGGCCTTACATCTACAGGCAAGGCCCGCGCCTTCTAAGAAGCAGGGGTACTTCTGAGAAGCCTTCCCCCCTCCCCCTACCTGGGGAGACCAAAAAGGTACCGATACCGCTACTCCCCAGGCCTCTTCTGGGGTGCGTTCTGACCAGGATTTCGAAACGAATTCGGGGGTCGCGACGAGGGCCTCCCAGGAGGCCCCGAAAGGCGAAAGCAAGGGAAGGGCAGCGGCGATGCATCTGCGACGTCGGCGATGCAGCGGAGACGTCGACTCGAAGCAAATCGGGCCCCACATCGAGCCGCATCGGCGACGCATCGGCGGTGCGGCGCGACCCTCCGACCCCATCTACTCCGACCCCATCTGGGAGGCCTTAGGTATCGATATCTTAGCTGCCCCGATACGCCACACGCAACACGTAGCGTCGACTGAAAACGTAAGGTCTGACGCGACGCGTTCGCCAAAATGTGGGCAATACGTCGAGACAACACCCCTCTGCGCATGGAAGACATGGGCAATTTGCTGCGGATGCGCACGCCGTGGGGTGCAGCTTCGTAGAGGCTGCCGCCCGCGCGGTCGAACCGCGTGCCGCGGCTACGCGGGCGCCGCCGTCCGCTGCCCCTGCAGTGCCGCGAGCCGGCCCTTGACTACCTTCCAGACCACCCCAACCCAACCCGAAGACCCGAATCTCGGGTGGGGGGGGGGGTAAGGGTTCCACGTGTGCTTTTTCTCGATGTTTCCCGACACCCCCCCCACTGGAAATCGAGGGTAAATCGGAGCCTTCGGGTTGGGTTGGGGTGGTTTGGTGGGGGGGGAGGAGGAGGAGGAGGAGGAGGAGGAGGAGGAGGAGGAGGAGGAGGAGGAGGAGAGGGCGGAGGAGGGGAAGGGGAGAGGGGGAGGAGGAGGAGAGGAGGAGGAGGAGGGAGGAGGAGGGAGGCCTCCTGCACGTGAGGCCCATCCCCCGGCGCCTTTCGCCCAGCTGCTGACCGTGCTCAGCGTCCTGCGGCTGGAGAGCCCAGAGAGCCGACCCACGGGCCGGCGGCGCGGATCCGCGGACGCCCGCGGCGCTTGCACGGCAGGCCCCTCCTCCCCTCCTCCTCTCCTCCTCCTCCTCCCCTCCTCCTCCTCCTCCACCTCCTCCTCCTCCTCCGCCTCCTCCCCCTCCTCCTCCTCCTCCTCCCCCTCCTCCTCCTCCTCCTCCTTCTCCTCCTCCTCCTCCTCCTCCTCCTCCTCCTCCTCCTCCTCGCCCGCAGCGTGCTGCAGCCGCTGCTGGTGCTCGCGGAGAGGCCGCCGCGACAAAAAGTGGGCCTGCGCCCCTCCGGCCGCCTGGCGGGCCAGGGCGCCGGGCGCCGGTCACCGCCGCGAGCAGCACCCTCCCAGACCCCCGACGCCGCGGCTTGCCAGACGAAGCCAGGACGAGGACAAACTCGGGTGAGGATAGGTCGAGAATCTCTGTGATCCGGCGGCTCTGGGATGTCTCGGGGGCCGCGGCCTTCCCAGAGCGTTCCAGAACGCTCTGGGAGCGATCCAGGACGCGCTAAAAACGGACTTCTCCTCGTCCTAGCCCCGTCCGAATTTGTTCATGGCTTCTTGGGCCCCGCAAAGGTATATAGACCCCTTCCCCTGAACCGGCTTGTCATCCCGAGTCGTCTTGTTGACGGTCTCTCGGCCCGGCCGGGGGCCCCCCAGCGGCCGAAAATGGCTGACAAAAACCTGCCGCAAAATGTTGTCACGACGCGAGGGGGCCCGGAAGAAAATCATCAACAGCACATGCACAAACTGTCGGAGGTTCGTGCGAATGTCTTGGATCTGCGCCGGAGGCGCAGATCCAGGATTCCAGCGAACGCAGATCGACGAAGTTCCCGCGGAGCCCCGAAACATTATGCGTCTGCAATTGTTTGTTCGAGGATCTGGGGCCCTCATCCCCATCCTCGATCCTCGTCCTTCTTCTCCCCCATTCTCTCCTCCTCCTCCTCCTCCTCCTCCTCCTCCTCCTCCTGCTCCTGAAACTCCTCCAACTCCTCCTCCCCCACTTCCCCTCCTCCTCCCCCTCCTCCCCTCCCTTTACCCACTTCCTCGTCCTCATCCTCGCTCCGCCTCCTCCTTCTGCTCCTCCTACTTTCCCTTCTACCATTCCCTCGCCCACTGCCCGTGTGCCTGGATTATCGTCGCTCTTGGCTGACTTCGGGCTCGTGCTCGGAGAACTCGCGGCCGCCGGTGGGCAGAGAAGGCGGCAGCAACGATGGCGACAGGGGCGGCGGCGACAGCGGCGACGACGGATGCGACGAGAGGGAGCAGAACAGACAAGAGGGAGGAGGCAACAAGGAGCAGGAAATAAAGAGGGGAACGGAGGGATGAGGGAGACGTCGCCTCGAGCCACGCGGACCAGCAAGCCGCTCTCGGTCGAGACTCTCTCGTAATTCAGGCAAGTTGGTGGAGGCCCAGACACGGCGACAAGGGTGTCCCGTTCGATATGTCTCAATATGTATTCCAAAAGTCCCTGGTCAGAGAGGCCCCCGAACTCAGGAAAGGCGCTCTCGCTCGAGAGTACCTCGCACTTCAGTCAGTGCCCGACAAGGAAGATATTCCCCCCGAAAGGGGGTGCGCTCGAAGACGAAGTTGGCAAGTATCGAGGAATGGGGTATACAGAATGCAAGACACGCGTGCCAGTAAAAACGAAAAGTCCTAACATGATTGTGGTGTTGTTGCTGTTGTGTGTGTTGTTGTTGATGTTGTTGGTGTTGTTGTTAGTGGTGGTGGTGTTGTTGGTGTTGTTGTTGTCCCGATCTGCCCGCCTGGGCCTGCCACGTGTGTTCTGCTACTAGCCCCCCTCCTGCTAGCCTCTATCGTGCTCTATCCTCCTCCCTCCCCCCTGTCCCTTCCTTCCATCCGTCCTCTCTTCCCCTGCCTCAGGAGCTGCACGAAATACACGATGCAGGAAAGAAGGATAACCCCCCGAAGGGGTACGGTCGAAGACGAAAAGGGCGGGTATCGAGGGTTTGGGATATACGTGTTGACTGGCACGCGAACAGATAAGAGACACCAGCATTAAAACGATGTGTGTTGTTGTTGCTGTTGTTATTGTTGTTGTTGGTGATGGTTTTGATGGTGTTGTTGTCGGTGGTGGTGCTGCTGCTGTTATTCGTGTTGTTGGTGTTGTTGTTGGTGGTGGTGTTGTTGGTGTTGAACTCTCACATCTGTCGAATAATTATTGTTGATCCACCCCTCTGGTGATCATTATACTTTTTTATCCATTGACGTGCTTCCCCCGGGGCCCGCACTCTGTTCTTTTGATCCAGGAAAATCACCAGGCTCAAACTGTGCCCCTGGCCGCCAGTGTACAACAACAACAAAAACAACGGCTCCCGCCGGATACTTCCTCACAATTTAATCCCAAATCGCGCTCTCGCGCAGGATATCCTCACAATGCATGCAGGAATCGCGCTCTCGCGTGGGACCTCCTCGCAACGCGAGTGCGGGGGCCGAACGACCATTCATTCTCCCCTCAGGGAAACTTGAAGCGCCAATCCAAAAGCCTGACCTTGAGTGTCGGCAGTGGCAGCTGCAAGATGCGAGGTAGCAGATGCACACAAGAGGACCGGTGACACGTACTGAAGGGTACAGTGATGGAACCCCGAAGACGCCGTCGCGGTCGTCCTTCTACTCCTGCTATAGCCGAAAATCGGATGCATAACGCTACGACTTACAAAGACTGGGGCCGATATCCCAGAAGCTTCTTGAGACACGCCGAGGCCAAGGTTTTTGCTAACGCTGGAGGGGCGAACGTTCTCAAGAGACTGAGCAGCTTTCCGGCAAGCAGGTTAAGAAACGCTGGCCCAGCCTTTCGGGAGGAGGTCTGTTCATAATATGCTCGGCCGTACTTCGCTTCAAGCGCGGCGCTGTCCGTGACCGAGCCCGCGGCACGGCAGCAGAGGCTCGACGACGTCGCAAAAATATCGAAAGGACAGTCAGGAGTTGAAGGGAGGCCGAGAGGAGGTGATTTTCTTCAAGTGTTTGAATATTTGTCGTCGTCGTTTCCGCCGCCGCCGACGTCGTCGTCTTCATCCTTGTCGTCGTCGTCATTCTTCAGGGTCGACGACACCGGCCGCAAGGCCTTCGTTATATCGAGGACACCCAGGAGCTGAAGGGAGGCCGAGAGGAGGGAGACGAGAGAGAGGAAGACGATAAGTGCCCCCAAAGTCTCGAAGAGCCTCAAGCCCGCATCTGCTTCCTCAGTATCAGTCTCCTGCCCTGGCAGTGCTCCCGGCCGCCTCTGTGGGCTGAGCGCCTCGCTAGACCTCGTGACGTTCACCTCGGCGAGCGGATTACGCGCCAGAGCGGGCCGGCCGCATGCCGTCGACGTCGTCGACGTCGCAGTCTGTCGTCGTCGATGTCGTCGTCGTCGTCGTCGTCCCCTTTCCGCAGTAGGCGTCCGCGTTACGATTGCCTACGGTGGGTCCGTGTCGTGACAACTTGCGCGTGGGCTTCTGACACGGCCCTTGAAGATCGCGGCTTCCGGATAGCGCAGACGATTCAACATCTGCCGACTGCAAGCCGCTGGCGGCGTTTGCCCGTGAACGTCCGCGCTGGGGTCGCCGCCAGCATCGACACGACGCGAACCAGGCGTACTGGTTGCTGGAAGGTCACTTTGCATACACCACGCGAAATGGTTAAGAAATCATGGGTTAAGAAATTAATGGTCTCAGAACTTGAATAAAAACCCAAAAATTCGATCAACATCTTAGGATTTACATTGAAACGTTAAGAAGAATCGAGACTCTGGCCGAAAACTTAAGTTTTCTTAAGCATCGCCTAAGGTGTACTCTGTCATCCGACTGGGAGAAGTGGAAGATCAGTCTCATCGGTCCGCCGTCTGCTCGCGTGACCCTCTCAGAGCGCTGGCGCCCGCCCCGCAAACCCAGACCAAGCCCTGGCACCCCGACAGAGGAGGTTGACTTCATGGGAAAGTTTGGGAGCATTCCAGCATACAGAAGGGCTCCTGAAACAAGAACAAGGAACGCTAAAGAAGGACCGAAGCCCCTTCTTGGCGCCAGCAGCGCCTCGGATGGCTAGAGGAGCAACCCTGGAATGATCTCAGGAACAGCGACACCCTTCTGAACACGAAGCGGTCCGCATTTCAGCTTTTTGACAGCATCTCTACGTTCACTGACAGGGACTTCAACCAAGAATGGGGGTGATAAGGATGAGCTGCAATTGGTGAATGTAGTTTGTTTCCCAAGACGTGTTTCGGCACCCCCTTACTGGCTTTGGCAAGGCGGAAAATTTGACTCAGCATTTGCAACAGCGGCAGTCTCACATCCCACCAACCCTTTCAGCGTAGGCGGTTTAGCGGGGCCTCGATTCCAACCCCCATTATTCCCCTTTGGAGAGGGGCCGTTACTGTTCCTCATTAGTGCTAGAACCGCGCGCACGCTTCGCGCGCGCTTCGAGTCTAGTCGAAAGAATTGCCTTATGCTCATTGTATGCCTACGCTTCATCTCGTAGTCACAATCGTTCCTCGTTGCTCTCCCCTCCTCCTTCTCATCATCCTTCTCTTCTCATCACTCTTCCTCGTTCGAAAGAATGTCTGTAAAATGCACGTCATTCTGATCCCTGGCGCGCGAGGGAATGAGGCCAACAACGGTCTCCAGCGAATCCGGCGAATCCGCCAGAAGACTCCCAAACTTGCACTATCGCCCGGGACATCCTCACAAAATCCGCCACCCTGGGGGCAGATCTGATGCCCCCAGGAGCGGGCCAGGCCCCAGGGCACCGCCATTTGTGGCTGTGGTTGTGGCCATTTCAAACTTATGTATAGGCGACGCTACGCCGGATATAACGCACCTTAACATCCACCTGTAACCCCCCGATTCCCTTAGCAACCCCCGCGGTCATCCAACGACCGGCCCCTGACTGAGGCCAATGCCGCCCCCCCCATCTGGCACTGACACTGGCAGTGGCTCCGCTTGCGTGGCTCCATGGAGGCGCAGCGGAGGGGGCGCCGAGGCGCTGGAAACTCACAGTACGAGGCGAACAGAATGACAAGGAAAACAAGGCATAGAGGGGAGGAGGACGAGGAGGAGAGGAAAAGGGAGGGGGAGGGGCGGGGGGGGATCATCCCTGCAGAACAAGAAAAATCGGAGTCCACTCTGCGGCCATGTCTGTATCCTGCTCGGGCGCCCCGCGATCACGCTGCACTGCTCTTTGAAGGGGACGAGGAGGGGAGTGATGTATAAATACATATATATATATATATATATACGTATATACATATATATGTGTGTTGTTTGTTGATTTTGTCTGTTCTCGTTTAGTTCCTGGGGGGACGAGGAGGGGAGCGTCGAATGGCCCCACGCGCTCAGGCCCGCCCTCTCGGTTCCTACACCCTGCAGGGCGCACGCTGCGGCAAAAAGGCAGGACCGTGCGCGGGCGCCCCGTGATCCTCTGGAGCAGCTGCTCGACGGGGAGGGTGAAAAAGGGGCTTCTCCTCCTCCTCCTCCTCCTCCTCCTCCTCCTCTTCCTCCTCTTCCTCCTCTCCCTCCCTCCTCCTCCTCCTCCTCCTCCTCCTCCTCCTCCTCCTCCTCCTCCTACCTCGCTCCTCCTCCTCCTACCTGCTCCTCCTCCTCCTCCTCCTCCTCCCCTCCTCCCTCCACCCTCCTCCCTCCTCCTCCTCCTCCTCCTGCCCACCTCTCCCCTCCTCCTCCGCCTCCTCCTCCTCCTCCTCCTCCATCCGCCTCCCCTCCTCCTCCTCCTCCTCCTCCTCCTCCTCCTCCTCCTCCTCCTCCTCCTCCTCCTCCGTGTCCTCCTCCTGACGCTGCGGTCGCAAAGGCGTTTGTTCCGCCGAAGCCCGCGCCGCGCGCCCGCGCGACCCTAATTTCCCTGCTACTGTTCCCCTTGCACCCCCCACCCACCCATCCTGCCTCCCCGAGGTCCTCGAGGTTGGTTGAGGTGGAGGAGCTCGCCCCTCAAGAGACACCGACGAGGGAGTCGACGAACTCGTGGACGTCGAAAGGAGGCCCACCCCCTCGCCTCGCAGGGGGCCCCGCAGGGCTGAGGCCCACCCCCTCGCCTCGCAGGGGCTGCGTGTGGCCTACCCCCTCGCCACGCAGGGGTCGTCCTCCTCGGAATCGGTCTGGTCCTCGTCGTCTGAATCCGTGGTCGCGCCAGCGTGCGCCGACCACTCGGCGGCCTCTGTGCGGACGCACTCTACGAGGTCCTTGCACATGAAGATGGCCCTGTTGAAGTCGTCGCCGTGGGTCTCGCTAGAAGCTGCGATGAACAATTCGAGGCCGTCCTTCTCTTGCACTGCCGTGAGTAGCGCGCGCACGCCAGTCTCCACCTGGATGCAGCGGATGTTCCTGCTTTCCTCGCCGAGGATGCGGGACTGCCATGGGAAGTGCTCGTCAAAGTTCTCGGTGTCGATGAAGATGCTGTGTGTCATTCTGGCTTTCTGCTTGCTGATGTGGCCTAACCCCTCGCCGCGCAGGGGTTCGCGGTGGCCTACCCCCTCGCCGCGCAGGGGTCCGAAGGAATCGTCGTAGTCGATGCTGTCGCCGTTCTCCGCCTCGGAGCTCTTCGTCTCGCGGCGCTCGTGGCTGCCCCCTCGCCACGCTGGGGTGCGCAATGGCCTAACCCCTCGCCGCGCTGGGATCCGGAGGAGTCGTCGTCGGCGAAGCTGGCGCCGTCCTCCGCCGCAGAGCTCGTCACGTGGAGCTCGTGGCCTACCCCCTCGCCACGCACGGGTTCCAGGGCGTCGTCGCCGTCGAAGCCGTCGCGCTCCTCCGACTCGGAGCCCTTCGTCTCGTGGAGCTCGTGGCCTACCCCTCGCCACGCAGGGGACCGGAAGAAACGAAGACGCCCTCGGAAGCAGTGCCCGTGGCAGCTGAGCCGCTCGGAGCACCATGAAGAAAAGGGTGTTCGGCCGATCGCGCTCTCCGCATTTGGTCCTCCACCTCCTCCTTGCTGGGCGGGGGCGAAGGCTCGGCCGCCAGCTGGCGTAGGAGCGAAGGGAGCTATTGCCGACGTAGCCGTGCTCGTCGGTGCTATCTGGATTCAAGGACTGCTTCTCGTTGGCAGAAGTGACGGACACGCCGATGCTGTCGGGGGTCGCCGCTCCCGCGGGGTGCGTACGGCTGCTCCTCTGGGTTTCTGGTGTCATGCAGCCACCACGCTTCTTGCCGTTCCCACGGCGCTGGTTTTCCTGCGGCCTCGCGTTCAAGACGTGGATGGCCTGGTCGAAGTTGTGCTCGGCATTGTTGCTGGCGGCCCGTCCAGCTCCGCTGATGTTCGGTTTCGACCCGAACGCTGCAGCCTCGACCTTCTGCTTGATGACGGGCTCGATGTAGGGCATCCTCGCATTGACCTCGCCTTGCAGAGGGTCGGCCGCACCGACGAGGCTCCGCAGCCAGTCGTCCGTACTTTGCCAGTTGTCCAGCTGTAGGTTGTGCCACCATTCTTCCCACCATGATAAGCGACGCTGAAGAGAGGCGATGAACGAAGCCTGCTCCTGCACCTTAGCTGTTGTGATTGCTCTCGCCTGGGGCCTGTTTGCCCTTTCGCGCCGCTCGGACTGCTCTTGACCATGAGATGCTGGTTTCCTCGACGGGCTTCGCATACCATTGCGTAGGCGCGCCTTGCCCGAACCTCGCCATTCCTGCCACGTGCCATGCCATGCCTGGCTGAGCCAAGGTGGTCGGATCGCGCGACGCGGCTTGAGCCAACATGGCTACGGAAGTCCTCCTCCTCCTCCTCCTCCTCCTCCTCCTCCTCCTCCTCCTCCTGGCGCGCGCCGCGCACCTCGCGGACGTCGTTGGCATCCGCACCAATTCCCCGTGGCTGTCGACGGCGGCCCCCGCCCATGCTGAGACTCGGGTGCTGCTCATGTGCGGGGAGGGGCGGGTGGGAGGGAGAGGCGCTCTGTGTTTTGCCCGCTTGTGTGAAACAATGGGATCCTTGTCGTGCTCTTGTCGTGCGCCCTCGGCCTGCACTGGGCATGACACCACAAACGATCACGAGACCACCTAGGGGAAGCGAGGAGGGAGGAAGGACAAGGGACCGGGGAGCAGGAGGACAAGTGGAGGAAGAGGGACGAGGGAAGAGGGAAGAAGGGAGAGGGAGCAGGAGGGAGGATGGAAGGAGGCAGGAGCAGGGAGGGCAGAAGGAGGAGGAGAAAAAGGAGGTCGGACGAAAAGGAGGAGCAAACAGGAGAAGAAGGGGAGGAGGAGGAGGAGGAGGAGGAGGAGGAGGAGGAGGAGGAGGAGGAGGAGGGCGACAATGACAAGGAGGCTCCACAAACAGAAGGACGAGTACGAGGACGAGGAGGACGAGAGGAAACGGCACGAGGACGAGAGGGGAGAAAAGCAGGAGGACAAGGAGAGGGGAGGAGAATGAGGATAGGGAAGAAGACGCAGACGAGGACGGCGCGACAACAACGATGAGGAGCAACAAGCAGAGAAGGAGCAACTGTGCAAAGGACAAAAGCTGGATGCGGCCTCTGGCACGAGAAAAACATGACGCGTGCACACACGAACGAACAACTAGCTTCGCAACATGGCGTCATCGAGGCCAATGCCTGAGCACGCCACCCCCCATTGCCAAGCAAGTCCTGATGTCAACTGGGCAGGCGCACTTGAGATAACCACCTCTGGGTTATACCCATAATGGGGGAAGGCGCGTCAGGATCTGACCGCGGGAAGAGAAGGGAAAGACGGGACCCCCCCCCCTTTCGGGAGCGGCCAAGAGGGGGGTGTCCAAGAGGGGGGGGTGCAAATCATGACCGGCGGCATGTGCGAGGCCCAGCGGGGGGACCAGGGACGTAATGAAATAAGAAGAGGCGCCATGAAATATGGAGAAATATCATGGCCCACGCCATGATATCCACCCCCCCTAGTCATCACCCTCCTCTTTGCCGCCCCCGACCCAAAAGGACGGGTGGGGAGGAGAAGATGAATTATACATCTATACGTGTATACATATGTGTATATATATATATACACATCTGTATATGTATGCATATATGAAGCTCCTTTCTGTCGCTGTCAATGCGCAGTTGCCTGCGCCGCCCCCTTCCCCCCCGTGCAAGGACGAGGCTCGGCCGGGGCCGCATGTGCGCGCTGCTTTCCGGGCAACTCCGGAACCGAGCAGTGGGTCTGCCCACCGTATTCGAGGGCAGCGATCAGAGGACCGAGGTTTGGCTTGCCATCGCCAGGATCGGCTGCCCATCGTGCCAGCAAGCACGCGGGCCGAAAGGAGCAAAGGTGTGGAAGCCAGATGGAAGTGAACGAACTGAGCACTCGGAGAGGCAGAATGAGGCTCCCTCGGCGAACTCTCTGGCCTCTCAGGGGCTCTCCAAATCCCAGCCCTCTCGGCGTAGGTGGTTTAGCGGGTCACCTGCCCGCGATGACCTCCAAGATGGGTAAAGGTAGCCTAAGATGCATCAGGATGGCTCCCAACATGCTCGAAGTGGCCCCAAGAACGCTCCAAGACGGCTCCAAGATGCATCCGAGACTGCCCAGGAGGCCGCCAAGAGGCCACAATCCTTCAAAAGCCTGTGAAAATCAATGTTTTGGGCTTTCTCGCCTTTTCGCTGCGGATGGCCTTCCGAGGCCTCAAGGCAGTTCTAGGAGGGCCCATGAGGAACCCAAGAGAGGCCCAAGAGTCCCAAGACGGCCAACCTACATTCTCCCCCTACGCCGATGCCGCGGCGCGCGTCAAACTGAAAGGCATGGCCTCCATGAGCGGACCACGAGCCAAGAGGGGGCGGAGTGTCCAAAACAGCCCCAGATGGCCCCAGGATGGCTCCAGGTGGCTTCCAAGTTGGCACAAGATAGGCAAGCATGAATCAGTACTGCTTCCAACATGCTTCCAAGAGGATCCACGAGCGCCAGATGACGGCCCGATGAAGCCACGGAGCCTCCCCAGGATGCCCCCGAGACGCCGACATCTTTCCAAACTTGACATATGTTTCAATTATTGGCCTTCAGGCCTTTTCGTCAGAGTGAGGGGGTCGACATGTCATTCATTATCCCTGGGCGCGGGGCTGCAGTGGGGTTCAGCGGTGAGAACTGTTCTTGCGTTGCTGTCGTTGTTGCGTCGCTGTTGCTGTGGCTGTTGTGTTGAACGCTCATTTGGAAAATGAATTATGTTGATCCCCTGCACGGTGCAAATTGCGTTTTTCGATGGAAGTTCTCCTCCAAGGGCTCGCACACTGTCGTTGTTTATCATGCCACTCCCTATCCGCCTTCCCGTGGCCCCTGCCTCTCCTGCTCGGGTTGCCCGTGGCCTCTCCTGCCCCTGCTATGGCCTCGCCGGCGCCAGCATATCTCATCCTCTGCATCCTTCTCCTCCTCCTTCTCCTCCTCATACTCCTCGTCCTCCTCCTCCTCCTCCTCCTCATCCCCATCCTCCTCCTCCTCCGCCTCCTCTTCCTATTCACAATCCTCCTCCTCCTGCTCTTCCTCCTCCTCCTCCTTTTGCCCTCCCCCTCCACCCTCATCCCTCATCCCTCGTCAGTCATCTCTCATGCCTCCTCCCTCTCCGTCGTCGTCGTCGCCCGCATCATCATCATCATCATCATCATCATCATCATCATCATCATCATCATCATCATACTCATCAGCAGCAGCAGCATCATCATAAGCATCATCAGGATCATCATCAGCAGCAGCATCATAACCATCATCATCACCACCATCATCATCAGAATTCAGTATCGTCATCATCATAATAAACATCATCATCAGCATCATCATCATCAACCAAATGACCATGATCATCATCAGCACCATCAAAATCAACAGCATCGCCATCACCATCATCACCAGCATCCTTACCGTCAGTACCATCATCATCAGCATGATCATTCACCATCAGCAGCAACACCAGCATCAGCATCACCATCTTCATCGTCATCACGACCACCATCACCATCATCACCATCGTCACTACCATGATCAGCAGCATAATCATCAGCACCGTCATCATCATCATCATCATCACCACCATCGTCATCAGCATCACCAAAACCATCATCATCACCGGTAGTGTTCCGTCGTCTTCATCAGCATCAACAGCATCGGCAGCAGCAGCATCACCATCACCATCACCATCATCATCATCATCATCATCATCATCATCATCATCATCATCATCATCATCATTATCCCCATAATCATCATCATCATCATCATCATCAGCATCATCATCATCATCAGCATCATCATCATCATCATCATCATCATCATCATCATCATCATCATCATCACCAGCAGCATCAGCATCATCATCATCACCACCATCAGCCTCTTCATGATCCTCGTCTCCATCACCCCCCGCCTCCCCGTCATCCTGCTACTCCCCGCCCCCCCCCCCCCTTCCCCTTTTCTCCCCCATGCCTCCGCCTCCGAGGCTGCCGCCTGGTACTTGGCCTTCCCAGCGCCCCCGCCCATGGGCCGCGGCCAGCTCCGCCGAGGCGGCGGCGCGCGGACGGGCGCGGGAGCGGCATGGGGCAGGTGCGCCCTCGCGCACTGACCGAAGGGGGCGGCGCGAGGGAGGGGGCGAGGGAGGAGGGAGGGGGCGAGGGAGAGGAAGAGGGAGAGGGAGAGGGAGGGGGACGGGGAGAGGGAGAGGGAGGAGGATGATGAGAGGGAGGAGGAGGAGGAGGAGGAGGCGGAGGAGGAGGGGAGGAAGAGGAGGCAAAGCAAGGTAAGGTGAGGCTCATGAGGAGATGAGTCCACAGCAGCAACAGCAGCCACTTCGGGCTCTTCGAGCCTCTGAGACGTTCGTAAGAACAGCAGGTTTCCCCACCTCTCGCAGCCTGCTCCTCTCTGTGTCCCTTCTCTTCCCGTACTCTCTGCTCAAGGCCTCGAGCGAGGCCAGTGCTTTCTTTTTCGGGGTGTGCGGGCGGGGCCATAGCTCGCTGGCCCAGCCTGCGGCGCAGCCAGGCAGTCCGAGGAGTGCTGGGTAGTGGCTGGGCCAGGTCCCCCCTCCGGTGCGGGCGGGGGCTCCGGAGGGGAGCCCCGCGGCCCGCGGCGGACGCCTTGCGGGCGCCCGCGGCTCGAAGAGAGGAGGAGCGGCCCAGCAGAGGCGCATCGCCTCCCGCCGAAAGGAGAGAGCGATGGAAGGGCAGGGGTGGGGCGGCGGAAGGTGGAAGACGGGAGACGGAAGACTCTTGATCGGCGGCGAGCTGCCCCCGTGGAGAACTCCGCGAACGACGGGGTGCGACGGGTGCTGCTCGGGCACGCAGGCGGGGGCGGGAGACCGGAGGCGGAGGGCACGGTCGAGAACTGTTGGACGGCGTGCCGCCACGGCAGCCCTGGCGACACGCTGTGCCCTGCGAGCGGATAGCGTGTCGCTCCGCCCCGCGGGGCGGGAGGCTCGGGAGAAGATCGCGACGTGGACGCCTCGGGGCCGCGAGGTGAATGGCGCGTCGCTCCGAGGCCCCGTGGGCCAGGACCGGCGGAGCGACGCGCTGCCCAAAGAGTTCCCGGCCGCAGATACTTCGGGCACGCGAGGGGGGACTGGAGACAGGAGGCGGAGCGTGATCGACAGGTCAAGCGAGGACAGTTACACTCCCTGTGCAAGTGGCTTGATCCCATTGCGTGCCCACCTTGCCCCATGTTTCCCCTTCAGCCCTGCCCTCCACATTCCCAGTGCCAGACCGCTGTTCGCTGCAGCCACGCGGCTCGAGCCTTGATGCTCTTTGCTTTATCCGGTGGGACTGCAGGAAGGGAAGCTGGGGGGTGCGACGTGGGAGGTGGAGATGGAGATGAAGCTGGGAGGATGACGTGGGGGTACGAGTGGGAGGTGCTCTTGTCGGTAGAACTTCGGAGATGGAGATTGAAGCTGGGAGGTGCGACGCGGGAGGTTCCCGAGGGGTGAAGGAAGCGCACGGGAGCACCAGCGGGGGCGAGCGGGGGCTCTCCCCACTTCCGCGCCTCTCCCTCCCACCTCTCCTCCCTGCTCCCTCCCTTCACCCTCCTCGTCCTCCTCCTTTCCTCCTCATCCGCCTCCTCCTCTTCTGCCTTCTCCCCCTCCGCCCTCCGCCTCCCCCTCCTCCTCCTCCTCCTCCTCCTCCTCCTCCTCCTCCTCCTCCTCCTCTCCTCCTCCTCTCCCCCTCCTCCTCCACCTCCACCCTCCCCCTCCCCCTCCTCCTCCTCCTCATCCTCCTCCTCTTCCTCCTCCTCCTCCTCCCCTCCTCCTCTTCCTACCTCCTCGCTCCTCCTCCGCCTCCTCCATCCTGCTCCCTGATTCCTCCTCCTCCTCCTCCTTCCTCCTCCTCCTCCTCCCTCCCCTCCTCCAATCATCATCATCATCATCATCCATCATCATCATCACAATCATCACCATCATACATCATCATCACCATCATCCAGCAATCATCATCAGCATCATCATCATCATCATCATCACATCATCATCATCAGGATTCATCCATCACCATCATCTTCTTCCTCCTCCTCCACCCCTGCTCCTGCTGCTCCTCCTCCTCCTCCTCCTCCTCCTCCTCCTCCTCCTCCTCCTCCTCCTCCTCCTCCTCCTCCTCCTCCTCCTCCTCCTCCTCCTCCTCCTCCTGTCCGTTTCCTAAACCTGAGCTCTACATCCCTCCTCCGCGCCCCAACTTTTCTGCCCTTCCGAGCAGGAGGCCCAGCGGGGGGAACCCGCCCAGCAGGGAGCCGAGAAGTAGCTCCGCGGGGCGGCCTTAGAATCCGCCGACTCCTTGTGGCTCTCCAGGCGTGTGAGACAGGTCCCCCCGTGGGGGGCCCCCCCCCCCCCCCCCAAGGACCCCAAACTGCAAATCTGAGGGAGGGCGGGGCTGGCCCGACACGACCCTGGGTGAACTCCTCAGGGGTGGTCCGCACCTCCCTGGGCTGCTTTTGGGGCTTCCGATCTCAAGAGTCGGCGGAGGTGGCGCAAGTTTGTAGAATCACGACCGGCGCCCCGACGCGGGCCCCAAGCTCTTCCAGTTCAGCGACGGCCTCCGAAGGGGCCAAGCGGCGCAAGAGTGCCCAAAGACTGCCCTTGACGCCCCCAAGCGGCCCCAAGAGGCCTCAAGGAAGCCCCCAAGAGGCCCCAAGAAACCTCCAGGAGGCCTCCAAGAGGAGGTTCCCACCAGGCCCCGCAACGACTGGACTCCACTGGTCGTGCTCCGGACGTGCACTCCGCGAAGCGAGAGGAATAATGACAGGCGACCTGTCGCGGGCCCCAAGCTGCTTCACTTCAGCGATCTGGCCCCTGTGAAGCGCACCTCGCGGACCTGCGAGCCTAGACCTACCGAACTGAAGGATGTCAGTGTGCTCGCATACCGAATAAATCCTTCGGCGCAGCAGCCCGAACTGAAGGATGTTAGTGCACTCTCATATCGAAAAAACCTTCGGCGCAGCAATTCTGGCGCCCCCAGTCTGGTTGCCGCTGCTGGCGACGGGGTGCCTCTGCCCTCGACGCCCTCAGCCGGAGGCCGAGAAAGCGCTATGAGCCTAAGAAGAAGCGGCCCTGAAGCAGCCTCGTGGCTCCCGGGGGGAATTTAGTGTGAAAAGCCTCGGCAGGGCAGCTCGCAGCCGAGGAGACTGTGGCCACCGTTGTCGTTTTACCATCCATGGGGGGCCCAGCGGCGTCTGCGGCCACCGGCGCCTCCAGGCCCCCGTCAGTGCGCGGGGGGGGGAGCCCCCGCGTCAGGGACATCGGCTGCCAAACAAACACCAAAGTGCACCAACACCGACTGTTGGAGGTCCGCGCGGCTATCTTGGGTCGCCGCTGGAGGCACCGTCCCTGGTGCGCGAAGCGCGCCAGGGGCAGCGCCCGATGCGCCGACAGGGGGCCCAACTTCGGCCCAAGGCATCCGCGCGGACCTCCGAATATTTACGGTCATGCTGTTTGTGGTTGCTCGACCGTCTCCACGGTGACGCTCAGGGACCAGATCGTCGAAGCGAAGGAGCGGGTCCTCCTCTGTGGCGCAGAAGAAAACATGGCCCACGGCCACCGGCTAACCGGGAGGAGCAGCAGCAGCAGCAGCAGGCGAAGGAGGCAGGGGAGGGGCCTTGGAGCCTGCGGGCGACGCGCAGGGCAGGTTGGACATGAACACACACACACACACACAAATTCACACACACACACACACCTCGCCGATGGCTCCACGTCAGAGGGCCACGTCAGAGGAGGCGAGATAGGCAAAGGAGGAGCAGAAGGCGGAGGGGAAGGGGCGGCACGAAGAATCCTCGTCAGCCTTACTTCCTCACATTTCTCTTTCCGCTCTTCCTTCTCGTTCTCCTGCCCGGCCTCCTATGATACTGTCCCTCCTCCTCATGTCCTCCTTCTCTTCTCTTCTCTTCTCTTCTCTTCTCTTCTCTTCTCTTCTCTTCTCTTCTCTTCTCTTCTCCTCCTCCTCCTGCTCCTCCTCCTCATCCTCAGCATCACCATCACCACCGTCATCTGTCATCCGCATCCGCATCCACATCAGCATCATAATCGTCATCATCGTCAGCATCATCGTCAGCATCATCATCATCATCATCATCATCATCATCATCATCATCATCATCATCATCATCATCATAATCATCATCATCAACATCATCAGCAGCAGCAACATCAGCAACACCATCTTCAACAGCAGAAGCATCGTCGCCATTATATCTACCATCATGACCGTCAACCACCAGAACATCATCATATCATCACCCGCATCATCGTCACCATCATCGTCATCATCGTCATCGGCAGCAGCATCCTCAGCAGCATCTCCATCATCGTTTTCGCCCTCGCCATCGTCATCACCACCATCATCATCACCATCATCATCAGCATCATCATCGTCATCATCCGCGTCATCAGCAGCAGCAGCACATTCATCATCGTCATCAGCATAAACATCATCATAATCAGAATAATCATCAGCAGCATCATTGTCATCACCATCCTCATCATCATCATCAACTCCACCACCATCACCATCAGCAGCAGCATCATCGTCGTCGTCCTCGTCGTGGTAATCATCATCATCATCGTCATCATCATCATCATCATCATCATCATTATCATCATCATCATCATCCTCATCATCCTCATCATCATCATAATCATCACTACCACCACCCCCATATCATCATCTCATCATCATCATCATCATCATTTCCTGCTCGGCCTCCTCTGATACTGCCCCTCCTCCTCATCTCCTCCTCTTTCTCTTCTCCTCCTCCTCCTCATCATCAGCATCTCCATCACCATCACCATCATTATCACCACCGTCATCTGTCAACCGCATCCGCATCCGCATCAGCATCAGAATCGTCATCATCATCATCGCCAGCATAATCATCATCTACAGCATCATCAGCATTATCATCATTATCAGCATCAGCATCAGCATACGCATCCTCATCCTCAATTTCGTTATCAGCATCATGACCACAACCACCAACATCATCGTCATCACCATCACGGACATCAGCATCACCATCGTCAACAACAACCACATCAGCATCACCAGCATCATCAGCATCGTCATCATCGTCAGCACCATGATCATCATCATCAACCGATCCTGACAAGCAGCAGCACCATCATCAGCATAATCATAGTAAGCATCAGCACCACCAGCATCAGCATCAGTATCATCATCATCATCATCAGCAGCAGCAGCATCAGCATCACCAGCATCATCAGCATCATAATCAGCAGCAGCATCATCATCACCACCATCAGCATAGTCAGCAGCAGCATCAGCAACATAATCATACTCATCAGCAGCATCATCAACCTCATCATCAGCAGCATCATCGTCAGCATCATCATCATCATCATCATCATCATCATCATCATCATCATCATCATCATCATCGTCTTCACCATCATGATAATCATCAGCATCATCATTGCCAGCATCATCATCGTCGTCGTCATCACCATCAGCATCATCACCATAAGCAACATCA